TCGGTCTTCTTCCTGCATCGTTGTTTACTGAGCAAACTCCATCTGGAAGGAGGATGTTTTTTAAAAAAGAAGCTGCTTCAGCCTCCATCGCTGTCCTTCCTCCTCCATCCTCCTCCTCCTCCTCTTCCTCTTCCTCTATCATCCTCCTCCTCCTCGTCACTGTTTCCTCGCTGCTCCTCTTTAAGTGGCTGTGATTGACAGCCGGGCTATATCCATGCAATATCACCCAGCGCACGTTCCTATTCCCTCCCGGAGCCTCCATCCGCCGGTCAAATTAACCTTCCGTGCCGACGGGAGGGGGCCCTGCGTGGGCCAATCAGCAGGTGATTAGGCCGGGGGTGGGAGGGGTGAGGGGTCACCGCGATGGGGCCATCGCAAGCCTGATTGGTTTCAATCAGCGGCCGGCCGCAAGGACAGCTGGGAGCTGAGCGGCGGCGAGCGCTAATCAACGCGTCCCACAGTGAGGCATGAACGGCCGAGCGCACACACGCGCGGCGCTGTCGGCGTGTACGACAACACGCACAAACACGCACAGCACGACACGGGAAGCAGAAATGAACAGTCGGGAGCACAACAGACAAACACGAAAAGAAAAAAAAAACCCTCCGTAATGGAAAAGCAGCCACAACAGAGGCGGCCAGAAGAAGCTCGCAGCAAATTGAACGGCTAATTGCATTGGATTCGTTAATTTGACCGACGGCAACATCTGATAGGGGCCCGTGACATTGGTTAAGTCCCGCGCGGCCGCGGCGATGCGACTCATGTGATGTCTCGAGACGCGGAACGATCCGGATTCGCCGCGCAGAGCGTCCGAAGCCGCCTCGACTCCCGCTCAGATAGCAGCCGGAGCTCGGCGCCGACCGGCGGCGGCCCGGAGGTCACAGAGGCCACATTGTGGTCGATCCGCTCTGGTTTGTGTTCGGCGGGAGAGGAATGTGTGCAGAGCTGAGACGCTTCCTGTCGGCTTTTCCCAGGCGAAGGATCCGCACATTTCTGAGAGTATTTTTACTGATCGGAGCCACTTGTTAGCGCTCCTCGTGTTTACTCTTATAGATTCAGCACCTAACTTGTCCTTCAGCTTTGAGAAAACCCCTCAAAATTGTACATCAAACTCTGTGGATCAATCAGGAAGAGTTGGTTCTGTCGTTTGATATCAATTCGTCATTCGGTTTTTACAAAATTCGCAAAAAACTGCACTAAAAATTCCCATTGAAATGAATGGGAAGTTGCCCAGACCACAACCGAAACCAGCCGTCTTTGGAGGCCTGTCGCTCTGGAAGATTTCACAGTAGAAACTCTATTCAAAGTTTAAACGGCTCACAAGGCTTTAAATGTTATTTTTTTGAACATGTGTTTTGATATCTTTTATGAGTTTTACAAAATTCGTAAAAAATTGCACTAAAAATCCCCATTGAAATGAATGAGAAGTTGCATGGACCACTACCGAAACCAGTCGTCTTTGGACCCCTGTAGCTCTGGAAGATCTCACAGTAGAAACTTCATTCAAAGGTTAAATGGCTCACAAGGCTTTAAATGTTGTTCATCTAAAGCCGTGTTTTTATATTTTTTACGGTTTTTGAGCAGTCGCAGTTGAAGTATTATGATTTTTTGGGGAAAATCCTGAATTTTTGTATTTGGACCAGAAAATTTTAAACAAAAAAAGTTCAGTTAATTTTGTCTCTTTTTCACATTTTCTCCTCTACATGAACATTTTATACATCAAAATGCAGGTATTTCCGTCCTCTTCCACCCAGTGTGAGTCTCATCGCTGTACGATTTATAGTTTTTCCATAAATCCTCTCAGAGTGTCGACCAGATCTCTCATTGACTCCCATTATATCGGAGCTCCAAACTGAAGCAGTGAGTCTCTCTAAGCCGCCACCGAATCTGAATAAAACACAGAACGGACATGAAACCGCATCAGAACGTCCACGACGAGGTTCTGCTTCACACGCTGGAGGAGTTTTTGTAGTTTCTGAGCTGTGAGCGTTTGTTGGAGGCTCTGATCCTCCGTCTGCTCTGCTCACTGCAGCAGCCGGGGACTCGCAGCTGATTGGCTGATTGATGCACCTTCAAAGTAAAAGCTCAAAGATGTTTAAACTGATTCAGGGTTCTGGCTTTTGAAAATAAAATGTATTTTTATAGATTATGTATAATTATAGCCGGGCATATTAATTGGCCAAAGCTGCTTTAGCGCAGTTAAAATGATTGTTTTGCGATTTAGAAATTACATTTACGACTAATTGGACCCGTAACACTGATTCTTATTTGTCTTATGACAATTAATACCTACCGACCTGCAACACTTTTTTAAAATCAGTGGTATTGGTTACTGTTATGCACTAAAAGTCAAACTCCTTGTATGTAAATAAAACATTTCTGAAGCTGAGTCGACTATTTTACTGTTTTTAATGTCAACAAATCAAACAGGAGCTCGATTCATTACTCAGACATAGAAAACGTAGACAGAAATATGTTTTTAAAGGCTTTACATGGACTCAGTGAGCCAGTAAAAAGCCAAACCCTCTCTTCTATTGTATTCTATTCTATTCTGAGTTCAGGGAATGTTGACCAGCGCTACGAGTTTAACTGCATTTCTGTTTTACCTCCATTACTGGTCCGGTGGTGCAGTAGGAAGAACCCACATGAGCGACACCCTAGCATGTTTTGTTTGTTGTTTTTAAGTTTAAAACCAGAAAATCCGGCAGCGATATTTAAAAAAAAAAAAAAAAAAAAAAAAGTGGAATACTGTAATGATCAAAAATTGTGAAAATAATAGCAAAAATCTTTGAGATAGTTTAAAGTTTTAGCAGATTTAAATCCAGTAAAACACTAAATTTAAAGTCAAACATCGTACAGGAATAAATTACTGTTTGTAAAAATACAGATTTTTGATGTGGACATGATTTTTTTTTGTTGTTCTTTTACAGTCGAATGTGAATTAATACTTTTCACTCTCTGATTGTACGAGATATTATCTGTAAATTAGCTAAACTGAGGGTAAAAAAAACATCTTTAATTTTATTTACAATTTTTCAATCCTTTGTTTTTCTGTAAAATTACATTGTTTTTCAGTTTTAATTTCAGTAAAATAAATATAATTTCACCATCAAACACTGTAAAAGAATGCATAATTATTTCTAAAAATACATTATTTATAGTTTTGATCTGCACTTTTACAATCAAGCTGTAAATTAATACTTTTTTCAGTAATTTTACCAGATATTATCTGCAATTTAACAAAATGGGGAAAATCTGTAAAATAAAATTTAAAAACAAATAAAATTTAAAAATTTAAAAAAATGTTTAAGGTTTCAACATCTGTAAAATAAAAAGTACAAAAAGTAAAATACAAATAGTAAAACAATAAAAAAAAAAAGTTGCATTTAATTAAAAAAAAGTAAAATAACATTTTCTAATGATGTAAATACATTACAAAAATTGCATGTTTAACGGTTTTGATCTGCACTTTTACAGTAAACCTATAAATTAATACTTTCTTCGGTACTTTTTCTAGATAATACCTGCTATAAAACAGGGAAAATCTGTAAAATAATAATATGTTTAAAAATAATTTATTAGTCATTTTTCAGTATCTGTAAAATAACATTATCTAATGATTTAAATAATTTTTTTATAATTTCACGATCAAATGTAAAAGAATTAACTTTTTTTCTTTGTTTTTTCTGTGTTTGTTTTGTTTTGTTTTTTAAAAAAATTTTACAGGTAAATTAAGACTTATTTTCTGTATTTCCTCTGAGTTTATTAAACACCTGCAGCAGCAGCAGCAGACAGCAGCAGAGAAGCTGCACACATTTACTATCAGCAGTCGTAGCTTCATTAATTATTGATCGCTCTGAAGGATCCGTGACGTGGAGACAGGACGTATCAGGATCTGACGGCTGCTCGCACTCCGGACCTTTGTTCACCTCAGACAGGTGAGTTACGACACATACGCTCAGTTTATCAGCTGCAGGTGAATCATTAGTGAAATCTGGGTCATCTGGTCCTGAGCTTTCAGTTTCACTACAAATGAATCAGATATAAACTCTGCTGTTGGTTTAGATGGAATCTGTTACTGCATTATTACATATTACACATCGTTGTGGAGTATAAGTAGTATATTTACACAAGTATGGTTGTTTTCATTCAGAACATTAATTTGCAATAAAGTATTTTTTATTTAAAAATGATTTTCATGCAGGACTTTTACTTGTAATAGAGTATTTTTACTTTGTTGTATTGGTACCTTTATTCAAAGAGGATTTTTCTTGCAGGGCTTTTACTTCTAACAAAGTAGTTTTACTTCAGTAGAACGTTTCATACATTGCTTTTACTGGTAATAGGGTTTTTTTTTTTTTTTTTTTTTAACTTTTGTATTGGTACGTTTATTTGAGTAAAGATTTTTCATGCAGGACTTTTACTTGTGATAAAGTTTCTTTTGTTGTTTTTTTCTTTAACCTCAGTAGAATTTTTATGCAGGATTTTGACTTGTAAATGAGTATTTTTACTTTGCTGTAATGGTACTTTTACTTAAATATGATTTTTCATGCAGGACTTTTACTTGTATGAGAGTATTTTTATTTCAGTAGAACTTTTTCTGCATTACTTTTACTTGCAACAGGACATTTTTACTTTTGTACAGGTAGTTTTATTTGAGTAAGTAGTTGATGCTGGACTTTTATTTGTAATAAAGTTGTTGTTTTTTGCCTCAGAATTTTTTATGCAAGATTTTGTCATGTAAAGGAGCATTTTTTTAAAACTATATTTAGGAGTACTTTTACTCAAGTACTAACTCGGGAGTAAAAACCTGAATGAACTTATTAATTTACAGCGCAGAAGTCCTTACTCTGGGTTTGGTGGCCCAGGCTGACCCCCTCCGGAGCTCCACAGTTAAAAGTCAACAGAGGTGGGAGGAGTCTGCCGGAACAGCCCGCCGGAGCGTCTGCGCATGAGCGGAACCCGAAGCGGCGGCGCAGGCAGCAGCAGGTAGGAAGTCCAGTTCCTCTTATGTCTCGTCTGTTATTTACTGCTGGGAAAGTTTACCGCCGGTGAAAAACTCTCGCCAACACGTAGACGGAACCGAGAACTGACCGCAGAGCTCCGCGGGCGGAGCGGGACCCAAATTTACGGTGTTTTTAGGGAAGTAAATCAGACTTTATTGACTTAACTGTGGAGGTAAGTTAACTTCTGTTTACCTCATTTGCCTGAACAAACTCTGTTTAGTCCGGTTTGTGTGTTTAAAAGGACTAAATAAAAATAAAAGTGTGTTTACGTCTGAGTCGCAGCAGCAGTTTAGAGGCGAACAGCTGCTACGGGAAGCGACAGGTCTCATTTCTTTGAAGTCAGTTCAGTGTTTTGATGTCTGATTATTATTATTATTATTATTGTTATTATTATTATTATTATTATTTTGTTTCTTACAAGGTACAAGTTGTGTGTGTGTGTGTGAGACTTCATAACCGGCGTCTCGTGACCCGGTGGGCATCCCTCCGAGAAAAGGTGGGGCGCGCGCGGCTCCGGTCAGTGCGCGTGACGAACCGTTTCATCCGCCGCGTCCGAACCGCGTTAAGCCGCGAAAACACCGGAACACTGAGAGAACACTGAGAGAACACTGAGAGAGCACTGAGAGAACACTGAGAGAACACTGAGTACTGCAGGGGAGGAGTAATCTGGTGCTGAACTGGAGGAAAAGTACTCTGTTACGGGTAAATTATAAATTAAAGTACAAATACAGGGAAGTAAATATGCTCTATTACAAGTATAAGTCCTGCATGAAAAATCCTAAATAAAAGTACTAATACAGGAAAGTAAATATACTCCATTGCAAGTACAGGTCCCGTTTGAAAACTCACACTAAAGTATAACTACTCCATTATAAGTAAGCATGAAAAAAGCTATTTAAGTAAAAGTATTACTACAAGAAAAAATACTGCATTACAAGCAAAGCTCCTGTCTGAGTAATCCTACTTAAGTAAAAATACTTCCTCACAAGTAAAAGTGCTGCGAGAGAAAATAAACGACCACCTCAAAGTAAAACTACTCCACTACTTCTACTTGCGTGTCTCTGCTGTCATGCTGCTACTTTGACTTGTAGTAAAAAGAGAAAAACAAAATCCCCACCGGACACAGAGATTAATCAATTAGTGGACTGATTGAATAATTTGATAATCGATTACTTGCAGCTTTTTGAATGTGACGTAATGTTTAAGGCAGCAGCTGGAGACATGAACAACGAGCACGACGCGCGATGATCTGACATTTTATCAACTAAACGATCGAGCGAAAACTGATCAGCTGATAATAGCAGTAATTAAATAATAATTATGAGGCTTTACTAAAGTAAATGTTTTTCTCTGCAGACCGTCTGCTGATTCGTCTGCGGCGATGTCGGCCCCGTGGTGGGAGGAGTGGCCCCTGCTGGTCAACAACGGAACCACGCCCGGGTTCTGGGACAACAGCACCTGCTACAACCCGTCGCAGAACACCGTCCTCTCCGGACTCGAATTTGGAGGAGTTCCTGTTGTGCTGCTGCTCGACTTCATCGTCTTCCTGGTGCGTTGGTGCCTTTAATCTGAGTCCAATCGATTCAGCAGAAGCATCTCGTTTGGTGACATGAAAGCCACAAATGGTACAAAATTAAACCCTATATTTCCTCTTTTCTTGCCTCCCACAGGTGCTGGTGATCATCTTCTCCATCATCAGGAAGAAGTTCTGGGACTACGGGCGTTTGGCTCTGGTCGCCGACACCGAAGGGTCAGTTTAGAGACTTGTTTTCTCCGGAGAGACCAGAATAGACGGCGTAATAGTAAACGGAACCTGACGCAGAACTTTGTGTTTTTAGGTTCACCGAGTCGACGCACCGGCGATATGGACGCATGACATCCATTACGAACAGCGCAGACGACCACGACCACGAACGGGTAACAGAAACAGAAATTAAACCACATTGAGCACCTTTTTTTGTAGTTTTTGGTGCATCCACGCTGTGTTTTCTTCTTATTAGAAGCTGGTGTGTTGATTCCAAACTGACTATCTCTGCTTCATCCCTCTTTGTTGAATCAAATCTGATTTATTCAGATCCAACAACCTAAATCAACCAAATGTTCTCAGACAGGCGGACAGAAAATCATGTGCGAAAGATCAAGACGGGATAAAACGAGTAAAATCCAAATTTAAAACAAAACAAAATGGATAACAACTTGTACGACCAATTTTCCCCCAAAATAAATATTAAATAGATATTAAATTTGGCTGTCTCCTCGTCTTCCCACAATTCACAAACTTCTCACAAAGTTACGTCAAAGCTCTCAGCGAGACGAGCTAGCACCACTTAGCGCTCGTGGCTAGTTTGCATTATTGATTCATTGATAATTAATTAATAAGGCCGCCAACTGTCTGTTAAGGAAATTATTTAATATTTCATCTCTGTGCAGATCATGTGTCAAATTCAGATTAATCACAGCTACTCCAAAGTGCTTTGTAAACTAGTTAGCATTAAGACGCTGCTCGACTCTGCACCGGTGTCTGCTCTGCTACATGTGCTGCAGATGGGATTATAAACACTGGAGCCGCTCTGCTGGACAAACTATGTCATGACACCGTTTCTGAATTACCTCAAGCATCCTTTTTTTTTACATTATATTCAGTAAAAGCTTCTCTTTATAAAAATTCTCCCTTCATGACAAGCCGGCTTTCTTGCTCAAAGTAATAAGCGAGTAATAATTTTGCACCACACCCATCCTAAGATCGTTCTGTCTCACTAGCATGCTGCTTCATTAAGCTGGTTTTAATCCCAGCATGCTTTTGCACAATCGACTTGCTAAATATTCTGCATCAGTGTAATTTTAGTTGTATTTAAGTGTAATTAAATGTCTTTGTTTCCGTTCAGGGATTCTGCTCTTGGCTGCCGTACATCCTCAGGATGGAGTAAGTCCTGTTTGTTTTGCTGTCACTTAACTTGTGCCACACCCAAATCTGCTAAGTCGTTCGTTACGTATTATTCCTGGTAAGCAGTTCTGTGTTTGTGTTTCAGCGAAGAAAAGATGAAATCCAGGTGTGGCATAGACGCCATCCACTACCTGTCCTTCCAGCGCCATATGATCTACCTCCTGGGGATCATCACCGTCACCTCCCTGGGAATCATAATGCCCGTCAACATGACCGGAGACCTGCTCAGTGGGTTTTTAATTCACGTCCTACATCCCTGTTTCTGAAGGAAATGCTCCAGAATTACACATAAATACCACCAACCGGTGTTGTTAAAGGCTAAATGACTACAAATGGCACTTATCTCATGTAGTTTCAGAGCTATTTGATGCACTGATTGTTGGTTAGATGTTGAACCATGTGTCTGATTTTTTTTTTTCCCCTGTTTGAAAAAATGTGGTTTGTCTCTTTCAGGAAACAACACGCAGTACTTTGGACAGACGACTCTTGGGAATCTTCCAGCAGAGTAAAAATACAAAATCAGCACAACAGTAACACCACCTGCCTGTACTTCCAAATCAGATGGGATCCCGTTCTGATTCTGGGGAGGAAACAAACCAAATATTCTCATTTAAGAAGCTGGAATCAAAGAATTTTGTTCGTTTTTTTTAATGAAAATAAAAGACTTATCAATGGGTTGTGGATCGTAAAGTTGTTACAAACGGGCAAATTAGCTATAGGGGCTAAAACTGTTTGTTTAATCAGGCTGCAAACGTTTTTATTTCCCACATCAAGCTGGACATTTTTTACATAGAGGTCAATCGGGATGGACTCACTTGTGGAGGCAGCCTCAAGTGGACATTCGTGGAACTGCAGTTTTTAGCACTTTGAACGTTTGCTTCTTTTTTTTTTGTTTTTTTATCCTCAAAAGTTGCTGCTTTGGTCGGCAGCAATGTTTAGATTGGCGGTGCATGTCAAAGTAACGTCAACCTGCAGCGATTAATCAATTATTGGTCAAGTATTGAATTAATCTAATGACAGTAAACTGAATATCTTTGGACAAAACAAGACATTTGAGGAAACTCTGATCCACATTTTTCACCATTTTCTGACATTTAAGAGACCAAACAGCTGATTGATTCACCCAGAAAAGGTGTTTTACTGGGACATATACCATCCAGCGTTTTATTGTTATTAACACTGTAAAATGAAGCTTCAAAAGTGTAGAAATGACATCCTGTTTGTACCCAATTCCTTGATAATGTGTTAGTTAATCCACATTAAAAAAATAATTGGTTGTCGCAGCCCAAGAATGAACCGTCATCAACCACAACTCCATTCGAAAAAGAAAAAAACATTCATGAATTAAGACAAATTTTGGAAGTTTGCAGCTATTTTCTGGGTTTTTTTCCTCCCGTGAAACAGCAAACTGAATATCTTTGAGTAGTGGAAACAACAACACATTTTCTTTTCACAATTTTTGACATTTTATAGCCCAAACAGCTAATTGACTGACCTGGGAAGTAATTAACAGACTAATTGACCATGAAAATGCAAGTTGCATCCTCATGTATGCAGGGTTTTCCTGCAGAACATCACATCATGATGACATAATGTTGTTCACGTGGCCTGCCAGTGGTTTTAATGTTACGGCTGATTCGTTGTTTGACAAAACGCTGTTATTTCTGCCCGTAGGAACGACCTGCTGTGGCTGCACACGGTGTTCGGGGTTCTTTACTTGATCCTGACGGTCCTGCTGCTGCGACGTCACACGTCTCAAATGAAGGACATGCGCAGGGAGACGGTGAGTCGCCGACAGCAATGCGTCGTTTGATGCAAAGTCGTCATCGACGCACCAACACGACCACGTTCCAGAAAAAACGTTCAGCGTGCACCGTTACGTAGAACGTCAAACGCCAGAAACAGCAGAGTTCGGTACTATGATGCTTTGATGATTTGAGGTTATCAGCGTTACTTCAGGTTTAAGTCCGGGTTTTAGGGACTACATGATGGTTTACCTACTGACCAATCAGGTCTCGGAAAACAGCATCACCGTTCCTGGAAGCGTTTTAGGAGCTGCAATTTCACAGTTCCGTCAAATCTAATATAGACTTCATTTATGCCCATCGCTCCTCCTGAACCATAGGCCACTGACAGCAGTCCTCCAGAGTCCTTTGTCCTGGACTGCCCTCTCTAGGTGTTTCCAGGTGTATCCCATCCCTCAAGGTCCCGTCGCCAGGCGTTTCTTGGCCGTCCTCTTTTTCGTTTTCCCTCGGGGTTCCACGACAGCGCCTGTCTGGTGATGTTGCTAGCTGGTGTGTCCAATCCATCCCCGTCTTCTGCGACGGAGCTCACCTTCTGTTGGCAGGTGGTCGGTACGCTGCCACAGGTCTGAGCTGCTGACGGAGCTCCATGGTGGTGTCGACTCGCACGAAGCTCAGGCTGGTTCAACCCCAACGTCAAGTCAGTGTTACTGTATGGAGCCGAGACATGGAGGACAACAAAGACCACCACCAGGAAAGTGTAGACTTTCATCAGCAGCTGCGTGAGAAGAATCCTCCAGATCCACTGGCCCAACACCACCAGCAACATAGACCGATAGAGCGCTAAAGCTTCATTTGTCGACTTATCGGATGGATTTGTGTTTTTAATGTTTGAGTAAAACTAAACTCTAAAAGAGTGAACAGGAGATGACGGAGCTCATCCTCATGAAAATACTTTGATGTTTATTCCTTGATTGTTTGTTTGTTCACTCTTTCTGAGCAACATCGGGCACAAAACCTTTCCTCAGAATTCATACTCAATTTTATTCCTTTCAATCCACAGCTTCTCAGCAGCTTTCACATCATTAATATTTCACTCAGATCCTTAATAGGAATCAGAGATATTGATTTTTGCAGCTTTACTTCCTGGTTTTGGCTGCAGCAGCACAGCCTGTGTTACAGTTTTAAAATCCTCATATTGGTTTCGGATTATAGTTTCTTCTTCTTGTCAGGAATCGTAGATGTGCATGTTTGAGATACCTGCGTTCACACCCACCCTCAGGAACCCTGAATGGACTTACCGAGTTGATAAACTGCTTACATGTGGCCCACTTTGGAAGTTGTTGGGTTTCCTGTTGTTGGACTTTCTTCATAGTGGAGATCCTTTTGCACTTTCAATATGTGCACACGCTGAAAGAAATAAAAAGAAGCATGAGGTTTAGAATGCAGCCTTTGTCTGGATGTCAGTTCTCTGGCGTCCTTAACATTTAACTCTGAATTGCAGCTTTCTGTGCGTGTACTGATTCACAGATCATGTTAAAAACACGCTCACCTGTGCCGGCGTCTAACTTTCACGTCTCTCCGTAGACCAGAAACACCTTGTTCGTGTGTTCGGTCCCTAAAACGGCGACGGACGAAGACGTAAAGACTCATTTCACGTCAGTAAACTGTTATTTTTTACAACATTTCAGTCAGTTCTTCATGGTCTTGTTGCTTTCGTGTTAAACTTCAATGTTGTTTTTTTCCTGCAGGGAGGCGTATCCGAGCTGCCGGGTGTGTGCTGTGACTTTGGGCTACGACGTGGCCAAACTCATGCACCTGGATAAAGAAACGTAAGACGTCACGAGTTACAGTTTGATAAAAATAATCATGTGATTGTTTCCCACTCAGCCACAAAGTCACATTAACCTGCAGAGCTGCCAGTTCTGCACAGGTCATTGATAGTAAGTATATTCTAGTGTGTGCTACTAATAAATATCTGCCACTAAACTATTTTTTTTGCCCCACAAATTGACCACGTGGTTCAGTCTCACTATTACGCTTCAATATTTAAATTATTTCAGATTTTTTTTACACGAGTATTCAGAGAAATTGGCTTCTGTGTGAAGCTCATTTGATACTTCTGAGAGA